AGTTATAAGAACATCAAGAATAGAAGATTCATTTTGAGATTTCTGCTTTTGAGTCTTTTTTTACCTGTTGGGTATTTGCCTTGGGTTTTAGCTTTCAAGGATGAATTCAGATGCCTCTGAATTCATAAGAAAAATAAGAACAGTTTCACAGTAAATGCATGAATGCATCTGTTAACCATTTAACTTCTGCCAAAGCAACACTATCTAATTTCTTCCAATCAGACTGTTCCAAGAAAATAATTTAAATTAGAGGGAGGCTGGGGTCTAGCAAGATCTTAACCTCATTTTTGCAAAGCTCCCCACTATCTTCTGAAGGTTCACATTTTCTACATCATCCCTGCAACTATTTACTGAATGCCTTCAAGTGCACCAACAGGATCTTTAAACTCAAGGCACCAAAACTAACTATAGAATCTTATTCTTTGCCTTCCTAGAGCTGTTTATGAAGCAAAAGGCCCCTCCCACATCTACTTACTATACCCCTTGCAAATAAATACAAGGATGTAATTTTCTCCAGCTACCACATAACACTGCTAGATCTTGTTCCACAACTTAACCTTCGCATGTTACAAGCAATTTTTTTAGTAACTTCCTGCCATAGTTACTTTAATAATTACCCAAGAAGTATTAATTCCCTCGATTTTCTATTGCCATTCTTCTCCTTTCCTTTGGCAGAGCCTCCACCAATGAAATCTCTTAACTGTTCAAGTTCAGTACCAAAAACATTCAGAAATCTCAGATACTGATAATACATGCTAGAACATTCACCAGCACTTACTTTGCCAGGCTTGTTTGCATCAAAGCTGTTTTCTTTAAATTTCTCCTGCAGGGTCTCAGCTAACCGACAAAGCAAGGCACCATTATCCAGTTTCTCCATAAAGGTTTCTGCTGTTATTTCTCTACCTGAACAGCAAACAGAAAGTTAACAGGACAGAAAGTGTGCAGTAGGATAGACTGCATTTGTGTAAAAAGAGAAACCAACAGAAATCTTGACAACAATTTCAAATATGCTTCAACTGAATAATTTGCATTACTTTGACTTAATAGTGAATAACCTCACTACTACTTTACTGGTATATTTAGAATATGTTATATATATTCTATATGTATTCTCTATATTATATATTATATATATTATATATTATATATATATAATAGAATATATTATATTTAGAATAACATGCTTTCTTTGGGAAGGCATGCAGTATTTGAAAAATAATTCTAGCATATCAGACTCCCCATATCTTGTTTTACTTATGAAATTCCAGTGGTTTTAACACAGTATTTTAACAGACAGCAGGCAAATGGTTTACACCACTGTGCACTGGTAGCTATAGAGTAAGAGTTGTTAACATCACCACAGTTTACTTTGTAAAAGCAGAAAAACACTTCAAGAAGGAAAGAACAATATTTTTAAAAAATATACTTTAAGACTTGATCACACAAGAAGTTGACATAAGAGTGCAGTGACTGCAATGCTCTTTTGAAACAGCTTTTTTAGAAGTAAAGTTAGGTACATTTAAAAAAAAAAAAAAAAAGGAAAGAATGAAATTTCATGTTATGTATCTATTTGCCACACCTTAAAATTTTCACCCAAAGAACAAAGCCAAAAATACTCTGTTTTCAGTTAATGTTACAACACTGAAGACAGCAGTATTATAAAGCAATATGACTACAAAAATGCTAAAGACAAGTTTATTTCTCTGAGCCCTTGCCTGAAAACTGTTAGATACTTCAGCTTCATTTGGGAAAAAAACTGAGAGTCTTTTCAGTTTGGTCACTTAAAAAGAAAGATTAAGACAAAGATATTTGAAGCAAATAATCTTCAGATACAACACTAGACTTCTAATTTTGGTTGAAACTAGAAATATTTGTTTAAGGGGAAGGCTTTTCTCCCTTTTTATTCTCCCTTAATCCTCCCTGCCGTATAACCCACTTCATACTCCTATACACCTAAATGACTTCTCCAGGCAAAGGGGCAGTAGCAGCACAGCAGACATTCAGTGGCAGCTTCTGCATAACTTGACAATATTTCAGCAGTGCCTCCAGCCCAGATGAAGCCAGAACTGAAACCATAATAGCCCATAGATGCAAAAAGTGAACATCTCAGCACCTCAAAAGCCTTCATCACTGTTCTAGCCACACATTTTCCCATTTGTCCCACCAGCATTTTTGGCAAAATGTATAAGACCATTAGAAAGCTAAATTTGAAAAATGAGTATGTTATAGGAAATTCTTTATTTTTAATAAAGTACTGCTTTTTACAATAGACACATTTTCTGCTAAAAATGTATTTCAAATACTTTTAACCTACACAACATTTTTTATTTGGAAAGCGTATTCTTTTTACACAAGTAAAAGAAAAATTCACATTCTATATCTCTATTCTTTCCTATGATGTATAGATTTATTATTTCACTTGTCAAGCATTAAAAAACCTAAAACCTATTCAGATGCATTTTCACAGAGACACTGAGAAATCCTTATATCTTCTTCTGCCATTTAACAAAACGTTGATATTATTTAAAATGCTGAACTGCATTAGCAGTTTGGTCACTGCATATTGTAGGCTAAGCCAAAGTATTTTAGTTCTGTTCCTTTTTATGAAAGCTGAAAGAATGAGTTTTGCATTGAACATCTGTATCCAATGAAAAATATATTAGGTGTCAGCTTTCAATTCACTGTATTTTATGGTTCCAAAAGGTGGCATTTCTTTGCTAGAACAGACACACTGACATATTTAACAGTTGAAATGTATTGATTCAAATGAGAGTAATGTTCATAGCCTGAGGAAAAAAATGGCCCTGTATATTTGTATGGAAAAAACATTAAACTCCATTAAAAATGTATAACTCCCCCTGTAATTACAAGAAAGCAGTTGCAATGTTTTTATAGAATGGTAACAACATTAAGTATAATAAAAAAACAACATTGAAAGTATGAAAAAAAAAAAAAAAAACAGGTATATGAAGGGTTTCTCAAATCTCACAAGCATTGCTCACCCTCTTTTTTATCACAATCACCAGATGTCCTTTAAAAAGACAAACTGTCCTACCTGAACACCTACCACTTGGGTACTGTGGACAACTATCTATAAGGCCACCCAGTCCTGGGGGTACAAACGCAACCAGACTGGGAGGTCTAGGGAAGAATAACTAAAAAAAGGCTATGGCCAAGTTGTGTGCCCAATAGGCTGAAGATAAAGCATTCCTTGCGGGCCATCTCAGACAAAATCTCACAAGCATTGCTCACCCTCTTTTTTATCACAATCACCAGATGTCCTTTAAAAAGACAAACTGTCCTACCTGAACACCTACCACTTGGGTACTGTGGACAACTATCTATAAGGCCACCCAGTCCTGGGGGTACAAACGCAACCAGACTGGGAGGTCTAGGGAAGAATAACTAAAAAAAGGCTATGGCCAAGTTGTGTGCCCAATAGGCTGAAGATAAAGCATTCCTTGCGGGCCATCTCAGACAACCGGAGCCTTCAGAAGAGGCTAAAGACTAAAACAAAGTACCAAAATCTAGTTGGTACCTCAATTATTGCACTAAGTTCCTCCACACTTAGTTTAATATCTACAATGCAAGACACTGACTCCAGCCTCACCACTTGCTGACCTGGTATTTTGACGGTATGTTTCAGTGGTAACACAAAACTGCTAGTTTATAAATAAAAACATATCACAAAGGTAAATCTCTGAAACACACTGGTTGAAAGATGAGCTTCTATACACTGAGGTACCAGTGGAACTGCTCCTTCTGACCCTCTCGAATTCTGTGGCGTTTAAACCCAAGATGATTTTTTTAAAAAGCAAACAAACAAAAAACCCCAAACAACAAAGAACAGAAATAAATAAAACAAAGGCCTATAATTTTATGCACAGGCAAAACTGGTTCTTTTCCAACAAGGCTACCATGTATCCTAGAATAGCTGACAGCAAGAGTTTTGATGGCATCAAGACATTATCACTTATTTGCAATGGGACATATAAACAATCCCAAAGGCATGCTGATACTAAAGAAAATTGTAAAGCCTCTCAACTAAGCCAGAAACTGCATCAGTGCCAGCAGAATCATTAGAAGTGTCAGTATCATAAATGGATATTAAGATATTTAAGACCTGCATTTCCCACTAGCTTGAGCTGAACAGGCTAATGTTGGAAATAAAGATAGTGCTTCAGAATCCTCATACACAACAAGGTGAGCAAGATGACCAAGCTGAAGCAGATTTTGCTAAGAGTTTTCTTGCAGAAGACTTCCCACACTTCATCCCCCAAACTTCACACCTCCTTCATTGCACTTTTAAATTTCACACCTGGTCTTCATCTCAATGCCTTTCCAAACATCTGCAACTCTGTTCCTTTTCTCCAAACCTACTTCACTTCTGCACCCAAGCAATTTTTACATGCCTCGTGCAACACTCAACGTTTATGTGTCCAATTCAGCATCTTGCACTCTCCAGCTTCTCACCTATGAGCTTCTGAAGCTCAGAAACCTTTGTCAGGAAGAAGCCTCAGTGTTGAAACCTGTGAGCCCAGGCATGTTCCAAGGGCACATCCTACATGTCTATTCAGTGGTCCCATGTGCTACCTGAAGCTGGATGGAATAATCTACAATATCATAAGCACCTGGAGCTGGTCAATAGACTTTGGGAATGGGAAAAAAGATCAGTGCTCTGCACAACAGCCAAGGGGAAACAGAGAAACCATTCCTCTTTACTTGTCCTAAACAACACACTGGTGAGGAGGCCCACTCCTGTGTCAGCCCTTTCTCCTCTGCAGACACACAAGACAGTACTGGAGAGTACAGCAGACAAGCAAACCCTATTTGTTTCCAAAATACCATTTTGCCTCTGCTAGAAGATTACTGTGGCCCAATGGTGCTAATTCTGTGTCCAACTGCGAAGTCTGCTCAAGAAGAAACAGAAGTTTTCATTATCTTCAAGAGCATTCTATTAAAATAAGAATAATCTAACAAATCTGGAGTGTGCCAGCAGTGTGAGTACTGCCAAGGGCTTCACTGGCTCTATACATAAAAGAAACAACGTGGAGAGATTATCATGATTTGCATAACAGCTGGGACAAAACATTTCCTTAACTTTGCCACTGCAAGGATCTCTTGACTGATCCACTAGAGCTCAGCAGAGGGAAATGAGACTGAGATACAGCATACACAGCTCCAGTCTTCCTCTCCAGCATGCAAAGCCCCACCTCTGCAATGCTAATGTGTCCCACTTTGAGAAGGCTGTAACGTACAATATCATGTGATTCAGTCCCATCTGACACATCGATTTCATCTGCAATGTCCTTTTTCCAGCCCCCAGAATACCCACAGCTAAAATCTATCCAGCAATGGATCTGTAATGACAAACCAACCTCTTAGAAGCTCTGACTTTCTCTGACATAGTTCCAAAAATAATTAGCAAAATGCCTACAGAAGTGCTAGTGCTTGCAAAAACAAAAAACAACCCAAAAAACATGACAATATCCGTGCTAAATTAAGATTAAATGTGCAAAGTCTCATGGCTAAAATGCCACAGCATTATTTTTCAGCTGCACGTTATTCCAACTTGTCACTTGGGTAAGGTCAAATTCTAGCTACATCTAATTTCTATCTAATATAAAAACCTTTCAGTCACATTATAAAGTGCAATATCCTTCTAATGTTTTCCAGTTTGTACTTTTGAACTGACACCAGGCTTTGCTGCTGCAAAACTGCAACCATTTTAACTTCCAGTGACACTGTGTAGGACATAGTTCCCCCTCATAATAATAATTTCTGAAAACAGTATCAGTTGACCAAACTACCTCAGAGAGGCTGAGCCCTATTCTTGTCCAAAATACTTTAGTTTTTAAAAAATATTTTTAAATAAATGCAGAGTATGTGTCCTTGTTGAGTCACAGTAAAATGAATTAACAAAGTACAGATGAAACAAAACATGAGCTAAGACAGCAAAAATTAGTTGAAATGCATATTTTCTTTATAAATTGGGAAATCCAGTTGTATTAAAAATGCCAGAAAGATACCTACAGTGAGGCCATACAAGTTACAGCACAGAGCATAGCACAGTGTGGATATACAGATTATCTGCTCTATGTTATCTGCATGTCCATGCACTTGAAAACCTGCTGACCATGAACGCAAAGTACATTATTTCTCCCATGGAGGAAAAAACCCACAACAAAACAAAATCTTTGCATATCCTTTTGTCCATTTAGATGCTGAAAAGTGAGAGAGTAAAAAAAGGTTTTTACACAGCAATGGCATTCTATAAATTCATACCTATTTTGTCTTAGAGCATCATGCTCATGTCTCCCCTCTAATTAAAGTTAACCTAAATTATACAGTAATTGAACGGATATGAATTCTGAGTTAATATATTTATATGAATATTAATTGCTTTAATTCAGTTACACTTAATTTACTTTGAATGTGAATTTAAACTTAATTGAATTAGGAATTTGAATAACAATGTCTACACAGGAATTCAAAGAACTTTAACAAGTCACTAATTTCAGTTCTTCAAGACAAACTAAGAAAGGAAGAGCTTGGTGTGAGAAGGTGTAGGGGAATGCATTAAGCAAATGAACTGTGCATGCTGCTTAATTAAGAGAAGGTTGTGCCCATTTAGTCCTGCAGTCCAGAAATTGGTGTCCATATGAAAATTCAGATTTTTAATTATAGTTGGCATTTCAGAACCTCCTGCTGGTTTTTACTTTCCTGTTAAAAAAGTGACCTCATTTCTAAACTTGTCACTGTGAGAACTCTGCTATGAACTGCAAACAAGCTTCTATTTGTTTTAAAGTGGCTCACCAAAACTTTATTGTTTCGAACATTTAAACAATATATGAAATGCTTAGTGGAATCTGCTGCTTCTGATTCAAAAAACAGTCTTTGGATTGCTGTCTGGTGGTAAATGGAAGGAAAAGTCAGGATTTCTGGATTTGGTTCTGGCATTGTCTAGACAATTTTATATTCAAATCTCATTAGTTTAAATGGAAGTACCACACAAAAATGTAATTTAAACCTAGTGCCAATTTTTGCAGTTGTAGATTCATAGCTATTCCAACTCTAAAATGGGTATCACCTACCTGCAAAATACAGTCTTCTTGCATTCTAGTAACACTATATGTTAACTACACCTCTCATAACTAAGTGATACTTCCCTTCCTCTTAAAAAAGGAGGAAATAGAGCATTGTAGGATATGCTGATGAAAGGCACTAGATATACTCTCTTATTGTATGGTATCTCTGAAAAGGTTAAACTTCAGCTTTTGACAAGATAAGACACTGCCTCTGTCTCACCAGAACAGACTTCCAGGAATAAATAAATAAATAAATTTAATAAACCCAACCAAAACCACACAACACAAATCTAAAAATGCTCATTCAAATTTTCCTCCAAAATAACATCAGCAAAAGTTGCATGTAAACATCACCTCCTCTAAAGTATTTTCTACTCTTCAATTGCTGGGATGCTTCCTTTAGAATGAAGTATTGTGTAAGTCATATTTCTTTGGTAGGATACTTTTGACTGACAGAGATCTCACAAAAGCCATTTTCCCCTGCATGGCCTCAGCAAACAATTTAGTGTTTCCTGGCTCATAGTTTATAAATACTGTCCTTCTTGAGTAAGTCACATATTCCAAATAACTGTCTCTTTCCTTCCTGCCAGGGACATACTCTCCTTTGCTCCTCTCCATGTATGTCTGGTTTTTCATAGCTTTTCATATGCATCCTATTTCATCAACAACATATTTTAGCTTCACACACCAAGACCTACAGCTGCAACAAGTACATCCCAGGTCCCAGCTGCAGCCACGAGGTCAGAGTCCTCCATGCACAAGCTTCCACAGGTCTTTGCATGCATTGCCTGTGGTGACAACCATCAATCACTAGAATGCCTGGTCAGCAAAGAATTATTTAATAGCTCCTTCCATTCGAGACAGTCAGCACACCCACACTCTTCAGGAGGCCTCCCAATAAACATGGAAGATGTAGATGATGGCAGAAATGAGCACCATTCAGCTTGTTGGTATTAATACAGAAAACACATGGAAAAGAACATTTAAAAGAAAAATTGAGGAAAAACAAACATTAAATTAGTAAGTTCAATTATGCTACTCAGAGAAACACTGTGGAGGTAAATTACTTAATGCAACTGTTAGCAAGGTCAGTAAACCTAGGATGTGGAAGTAGCTACCTAATCATAACTACCTTTATTTTTGACACACAGTCTGAAGGACTGATTTTCTGGCTAACAATGCATTGAGTTCCCTTACTGTCCAGTATCTGCATTTCATCTCATTGTGTCTTACCCAGTAAGTTTGTGAGCCAGAGGGCCAAATCCTCTTTCATTGGCAACAAGTTGGCCTCATGTCTACTTGCAAGCCACTGACTGTATTGGTGCATGTCAGAGAGGCCAGGCCCACGTGCCTTCGGGCTCAGAGCAGTGCACATTGCTTATCCTCTTCTTGCACCTGTTTAATTATATAGAAATAAAAAAAAAAAAGAAAAAAAATATAATTACTGTGTTATATCAAATAACATTCTGCAGGTTCTCTTTTAAGAACTGTAGAAGATGACGAGTATCTATGATTCTAAGAAATCGGATGTCAGACAAGCAGATGGGGACCTAACACAGATACAACATTCGTGATTTAAGTTTTGTTTTGTTAATGGATCACATTGGAAGGGATTAAATCACACAGATAACTTCATTTGTGCTCACCAAGCTACACACATGTTGGCAACACATAATCAAATATTCTGCAAGGAATGATTAGAATCAAATCAAAATAAACATTTCACACAAAGCTAATAACTCACTACAGTGCCTGATCCAAAATCCATTCAAAATAAATTGAAAGCTTCAGAGATTTTTGGATCAGGCCCAAGGAAAACACAAGAACAACTGAGTTACGCTACTACAGCAAACTTAGCAACAATGAACAAATGCAGTTCCCAAATGGAATCCATCTATTCTAATACTGTAGAATAATTAATAATTATTATAATCATCATCACTACTAATATAATTATAATAATTAAAGAAAAAAAAAACACCCTGAATGTGTTCACTGAATAGCATTATTTCTTCAGAAAGCAGCACAACAGCTAGTGCTGGTCACCCACACTTCCCACTTGCACCTTTTACACACATACTCCCTTGCTGCAGTGACACTTTACTGAAACTTCAATTTCAGGTAAGTCAATACATCATGTGTTAAATATTAGTTAAGTGTTTGAACCTTTCAGCAGCCAGAGACATTAGGCCCACTGGACCTGTATCTCTGCTCCTGAAGGACTAATTCCCCCATCTGTGGCAGACACGTGCTAAGGAAAGGTTATTTTTTTCTCTGAAAAGAAACTCAGGCCTGGACCCTAATGCTTGTAGCAGTGAGCTGAGATACTTGCTCAGCAGGCTGCAGCCTGCTGAAAGCCCAGTCACACCAACCAGCAGTCACAAAGTCTTAAGTAGGTGCACTAGACAGACATTAAGTGGGGGTGTGAGATCCCTAAAGAATAGTTCTTTGCCTGTTGTCAATGGGCTGATCCACACAACTGTGGTTACATGTGTCAGCTGGCTCCAGCTTATGATACACTCCAAACACTATTTCTTTCTGGCCTCTCCAAACCTTTAAAGTCAGGTAAAAGCTAAAAGTGACTTTAAAAACAAACAAACAAAAATAACAAGTTGTTACACTATTCCATTGTGGCCTGGAATAACAAGAACACTGAAAACAACTGCTTTGTCAAAAAAAAAAGGAAAATGCTTACTAAATGTAAAAAGCAATTGCCTTTCCATAAAATTCTGCTGCAGTCAATATTTCCAAATATATTAAATGTTATTTGGGTTATTTTAATGTTTACATTAAATAACCCAAGCATTTTGTAGCCATATTTTGTATAACTATACTCCTTGTTCATAAAAATATCTGCTCAAGTTTTTGTTGAGAGTACCTCATCCTCAAAACCTGAAGTTTGACTTGCCCTTGACATAGGCAGTTTTCACTACAAATACAATTCTTACTGAAATTAGACACTTTTTTTTCCAGTTTGAGAGGGGGGAAAACACAAAAAATATTTTATTCCCTTGTATAAATACCTATTTCTGATTAGCAGAAGATTCTACATTTCTCTAACAAAAAAAAACAACAAACACAAAACCAAAACAAACACAAAAAACCCCACCTTATGCAAAGTTCCTTTGGAAGCAGAGGAGTTTAATGAAGACTAAAGTAGGTAAATTAAGCAGAGCTCTGTTCTGAAAATTGACTCTTTAAAAATTTCAGCTTGGATTTATGGTTTCCTGGCTGATTAAATCCAAATCATACCTGTTCACGCACAAGATGTGAGGAAGTGGAGGGTGAAGAATTAAGCTGTTAGCTTAGCAAAAATTAATCTGGAATGTGACTCTGAAAATAGATTCCTTTGGACTAGGTGATACTAACAGCCAAGGAATTATAATAACAGTATATTTGAAGTTGCTTTAAGTCACTAAGAACCACACAATTTAGTGCTTCAAATCACTGCTTTCATTTTGGATGGAAACAGAAGCAAGATGGGTAACTGACACCACCTTGTCTTTCAAGATTTTATGGGAAAGATCAAGTGTAAATACATGTCATATACTTTCCAGAAAAAAACAAAACAAACTTAAAATACTTTTTTTACTTATTTCTGGAGACTATAAACTCCATTGATACAACGAGAAACAGAACTGACAGTAGTTTGTTATCTTAAATAACATCTGAAATGGTATCAGTAAAAAATAATAATTAAAAAATGCTTGTTCCTGAAAGTTCACTTAGTATACAAATAAGCAAAGTAAAAATGCCTTCCCCCCCCCCATTTTTCAGTTTATTAACACACATATTTAGGAAGCAAAATCCTGCATGCTATTCGTTTTCACCGAATCATCAGGTTGGAAGGGACCTCTAGAGATCATTTAGTCCAACTGCCCCACTAAGGCAAGATAGCCTAGAGTACGTTACACAGGGCTGCATCCAGGCATTTTGGCATACAGATTGGAAAATATACCTGAAAAAAGCAGCCCAGTTGTACTAAAAGAACCAGTTAGGCACTGCACCTTCTCACTGGAAAAAAATTTCCCAGTTCATACATAGTTTGAGGAGGGGGTTAGACTGAATGACCCTTGGAGGTCCCTTCCAACTGGAGTTATTCTGAAATTGTATATGTTAAGGATGCACACAACAATATTCATCCTGGAATCAGGGACTGCTCTCTTAGGAATATAACACAAGGCACACACACAGGCTGGGTTGTGTTAACAGGAAGACTACAGAGACAACATCCTTTTCTTTCATTTCAGGAAGTTCCATCTGCCATATCACCTCCAAGACCAAATACATGAAGTGCCCTATGACACTCAGAGCTAATTAATGACCAACAACATCACAATATGCCTCACAGTCAGCCAGATACAATGCAGGCTGCTGCCACTGGTGGGGCTGAAGTGATCCTAAGGTCTGAAACTTGCATTTCTCTAAGACTAGAGAAATAAAGAGGGAAAGCTTCTGGAATAGCTATATGGTGGCAGTTTGGGTTTCCCCATCAGTCTGTGAAACAAGCACTGCAGTCTGTTTATGGCTCAAGCTGATCTCTGTGGACACACAGAGCAGAAAATTCAGGAATTTGAGATATTAATTCAGTTTGGCTCTAAATCACAGGGCTATCTTTAAAGCTATTTCATACTGTCCTACCTCTTGTTTCATAAAACTCAACAACCAGGCTGTGTAAAGGTCTCAAGGAACTTTTGAAACTCATTGCAGAAAGAAAAAGGGAGAATAAAGAGCTCTGACTTCAAAGGATGCATAGGTGCATGAGTTTTGAAGCAAATGTGGTAGTAAGAAAAGAGGAGTGCTAGAGACAAGAAAGGTAGTCTGAGTTTAAGGTAGTTTTTATAGAACACAGGTTATCAGAACAGGAAGCTACAGAAGATGAAGAAAGGCAGAAAGACATGGGACAGAATCTATAAAAGCTGAAAATTATTCAGGCATCACTATACTGGGACTAGGTCAGCTTGAAATAGTAGCCCTGAATTAAGAAAATAATATTTGGGTTAATTTGTGAAGCAGGCATGCAAAGCGAGGATTGCAGAACAATAAATGTATTACTGATTTTGAGTATCCACAAAACCAGCACTGAAGAATAATCTGTAAATCACATACAAACCAACCTTACCTCTTTATAAGCTTTGATTTCATTTGTAAAAGGAATTAATTTTCCCCTTTCTATTTCTCTGAAAACCTGCCCTACACTTCAGTAAAATATTTCCTTGATAGAATCAAAGCAAAAAATATATTCCCATCTTGGATTTAAAAAATAAAAAAATCAGTCTTCAAGTAGCAGAGCACAATTTTTTACCTGCAGCTCCCATCTGAGTGATATCGTGGGTTAGATATCAAACTCCAAGCATCAGAAGTTATCAAACTCATAATTATTCTTTATGCAAACACTCAGAGCTACTGAACTTTTAAGTTTAACTTAAGTCTCCACAACACTTCACTGCTCAGGTACCTCAGCTTTATTACAATGTTCACCTAGTTCATCAATTGTAATAACCTGTACATTAACTATTAAAACTTTTAAAACTTACTAGGTGGGATCTATGAAGCTGAATTGAGTAAGTTAGGTGAAGGCAGCAGAAGTTGGTGCCTGAGCTCTTTCAAGACCCCTTTGAGGATTCTACCAGTAGTCAAGGCCAGTCTCTTGCTTCTTTGCTCAGATACCATCAAGTCACCTCCTTAAAATGTCTTAACATATTTCTTCTCTGGTGAGCTGGAGAAGTTTATCGACAATTTAGCAGTGAGGATCTTGGTCAGTAAAACAGACTAACTTACCACAGAGGTAGACAGTAGCATTCAGGGATACATCACCACAGCTGAGGCAAGTCCCTTGCTCCAACAACTATTTCATCCTTTCCTTTTGGCAGACATAAGGTATGAACAAAGTAGCCAAAAAATACTGGTTTTCCTAATCTCACTACTTTCTAACAGCAACATCAAATCATCATGTGCAACTCTAACACTAGCCAACATAAACATGTTGAATATTTTATAGAATGTTACACTTCTCTGTAAACTCCAGAGGCTGACGTGATAGACGCATAAGCATTTTTCAAAACTTACCTCTAAATGTTTTATTCCTCAGAAAGCAACTTTCCCCCCCTACTATTGTGAAGGTAGACAAGGAAAGGTCTTTCACTGCTTTTCATTCTGTTTTCTTAGAAGTCACATTTATGCAGCACAGCCTTTTTTTTCCACCTCTCTCAATAAGAGGACAGCATTTCAAATTCTCAGACTTATTGTCTAGCTGAAGAATTCAGTGTGGGATAGTTTACAGTACACCCAGTGACAAGCAACAGATTCAACACACTAAAAGGTTATACTTCTCTTTTCTTGATGCTACCAAACAGTGAAGTTTTTCTTTTGCTT